TAGGATACATCAATGGTAACAAACTTGTTTAGGATACATCAATGGTAACAAACTTGTTTAGGATACATCAATGGTAACAAACTTGTTTAGGATACATCAATGGTAACATACTTGTTTAGGATACATCAATGGTAACATACTTGTTTAGGATACATCAATGGTAACATACTTGTTTAGGATACATCAATGGTAACATACTTGTTTAGGATACATCAATGGTAACATACTTGTTTAGGATACATCAATGGTAACATACTTGTTTAGGATACATCAATGGTAACATACTTATTTAGGATACATCAATGGTAACATACTTATTTAGGATACATCAATGGTAACATACTTGTTTAGGATACATCAATGGTAACTAGGATACATCAATGGTAACATACTTATTTAGGATACATCAATGGTAACATATTTGTTTAGGATACATCAATGGTAACATACTTATTTTGGATACATCAATGGTAACATACTTATTTAGGATACATCAATGGTAACATACTTGTTTAGGATACATCAATGGTAACATACTTGTTTAGGATACATCAATGGTAACATACTTGTTTAGGATACATCAATGGTAACATACTTGTTTAGGATACATCAATGGTAACATACTTATTTAGGATACATCAATGGTAACATACTTATTTAGGATACATCAATGGTAACATACTTGTTTAGGATACATCAATGGTAACATACTTGTTTAGGATACATCAATGGTAACATACTTGTTTAGGATACATCAATGGTAACATACTTGTTTAGGATACATCAATGGTAACATACTTGTTTAGGATACATCAATGGTAACATACTTATTTAGGATACATCAGTGGTAACATACTTGTTTAGGATACATCAATGGTCACATACTTATTTAGGATACATCAATGGTCACATACTTGTTTAGGATACATCAATGGTAACATACTTGTTTAGGATACATCAATGGTAACATACTTATTTAGGATACATCAATGGTAACATACTTATTTAGGATACATCAATGGTAACATACTTGTTTAGGATATCAATGGTAGCATACTTGTTTAGGATACATCAATGGTAACATACTTATTTAGGATACATCAATGGTAACATACTTATTTAGGATACATCAATGGTAACATACTTGTTTAGGATACATCAATGGTAACATACTTATTTAGGATACATCAATGGTAACATACTTATTTAGGATACATCAATGGTAACATACTTATTTAGGATACATCAATAGTAACATACTTATTTAGGATACATCAATGGTAACATACATCAATAGTAACATACTTATTTAGGATACATCAATGGTAACATACTTATTTAGGATACATCAATGGTAACATACTTATTTAGGATACATCAATGGTAACATACTTATTTAGGATACATCAATAGTAACATACTTATTTAGGATACATCAATGGTAACATACATCAATAGTAACATACTTATTTAGGATACATCAATGGTAACATACTTATTTAGGATACATCAATGGTATACTTGTTTAGGATACATCAATGGTAACATACTTGTTTAGGATACATCAATGGTAACATACTTATTTAGGATACATCAATGGTAACATACTTGTTTAGGATACATCAATGGTAACATACTTGTTTAGGATACATCAATGGTAACATACTTATTTAGGATACATCAATGGTAACATACTTGTTTAGGATACATCAATGGTAACATACTTGTTTAGGATACATCAATGGTCACATACTTGTTTAGGATACATCAATGGTAACATACTTATTTAGGATACATCAATGGTAACATACTTATTTAGGATACATCAATGGTATACTTGTTTAGGATACATCAATGGTAACATACTTATTTAGGATACATCAATGGTAACATACTTATTTAGGATACATCAATGGTAACATACTTATTTTTATGATGATAAATATAAAAAAAAAAATAAGGAGTTGTGATATATATAAACATGATAAAGGCGGTGTTCAAAAGTCGTAAATCGATTGAGGGAAAACAAATCCGGGTTACAAACTAAAACCGAGGGAAACACATCAACTATAAGAGGAAAACAAAAGAACAACAGGAACACTGAAGAGCAACAAAAACAAACGCCAACATACATATATATATAGAAACGAACTATTTGATAACAATTGCCATATTCCTGACTTGGTACAGGACATTTTAAGAAAAAAATTTGCCAATGAGACAACTATCCACCAGAGACCATATGACGTAGATTTTTAAAGCATTTATAGGTCACGTACGATCTTCAACGATGAGTAAAACCTACATATACAGTCTTGTCTGGTCTCGCTTTGCCTTTACAATCAAAATAACGCGTTGCCTGATCTTCCACGATCAATTTTGATTAAAAATCAACAAAATCCTTCTTTTAAAAATAATAATCTTAACCTTTTCAAGGAAATCATCTCTTCCATTTTACTATACTATCTGACAGACAAAAGATTTATTTTCAAATGTATCATGATTAATTCGAATGTGAACAATTTAGATCCAAAACGTCTTTTTTTTAAATTCGCATAAGGTTATGTGTCGCCTTTTTTTTTATGAATACTCTTTTGGTAGTACTGATTTGTCCATAATATTCCAATCCGTACTACGCACGGCTAAGATGAGCTGCTTTTAAAAGTAAAATTTGAAATCATAAATCCGACTGATTTTTATACGCCCGTCAAATTTTTGACGGGACGTATTATGTTATACAAATGTCCGGCGTCCGTCCATCTGTCTGTCCGTCTGTCCGTCTGTCCGTCTGTCTGTCCGTCTGTCTGTCCGGCGTAAACATGTCGCACCGTAACTTGAGAATGACTTATCCAAATTACATGAAACTTAACATAGTTGTTTCTTATGATGGTCAAATGATCTGTATACTTTTTGGTGAAAATAAGATTAAAACTTTTTGAGTTACGGGACTTAGTAACTAAAACAGGTGTGTGTTTTTTTTTCACATGTCACGCCGTATCTCAAAAACAATTTAGGATTATTGCTTAAAACTTTACACACTTCTTAGTTATATTAATCTTAAGATCTGTATACTTTTTGGTGATGATTCAAAATTTTATTTTTGAGTTATTGAGTATTTTGTTAAAAAAGGGGGAGGGGTTTTTCACATGTCGCGTTGTATCTCAAAAACAGTTTATGATTATTGCTTAAAACTTTACACACTTCTTAGTTATATTAATCTTAAGATCTGTATACTTTTTGGTGATGATTCAAAATTTCATTTTTGAGATATTGAGTATTTTGTAAAAAAAGGGGGAGGGGTTTTTCACATGGCGCGCCATATCTCAAAAATGATTTATGATTATTGCTTAAAATTTTACACACTTCTTAGTTATATTAATCTAAAGATCCGTATACTTTTTGGTTTTGATTCAAAATTTTTTTTTTGAGATATCGATTTTTTTTTTTTAAAAGAGGTGTTTTCACATGTCGCGCCGTATCTCAAAAACTATTTATGATTATTGCTTAAAATTTTACACACTTCTTAGTTATATTAATCTAAATATCTGTATACTTTTTGGTTTTGATTCAAAATTTTATTTTAGAGATATTGAGTTTTTTGTAAAAAAAAAAGGGGGGTTTTCGCATGTCACGCCGTATGTCAGAAACTATTTATGCTTATTGCATAAAAATTCACACACAAGACGACGGGCGTATCATGCGCTCATGGCGCAGCTGTTTATTAATATATAGGCATAGTTAGCATTGTTTATTCTGTTTTTATTATCAGTTACGCATAATGAGTTTAATGACTATGTGAGAGCATAGACTGCATGGGACCAGTGAAGTGACCTTATATGAAATGAGGACCCAGGCATAGATAAATGTATGTGGTTGTTATGTATACGCATTCGAGTTTGACCATGGAAGTAATATCTGCTTAAACCAACAAAAATTACCAGCTAGACAAGATCTATAAATAAGTCAACATGACTTAATTCATCCGTCTACTCATTACAGGAGTTTTTGCCCTTCAATGGCGTTTTTCTCTATTTTTGTGTGTTGGCTATAATCTTGAAAACTATAATGGAATGAAAGAAACTTGATCCATCAAAATGATCAGCTATACAAGATCTCCAAATAAGTCATAACAAGTGAAATCATCAGTAGACTACTTATAGGAGTTTTTGCCCTTTAATTACGATTTACTCAAAAGGTTGACTGGGTTACTTGAAAAAATTTGTCATCCCTAGACTACTCCCGTTCGGCAGTTGAGCTAAAGTTTGGTGTTCGTTTGGCTGTGCGAGAGGTTTAAATACGTAAATGTGCCCGGTCGGAATGGGGACATTTAATCCGATGCGTCGTTACGATATGACGAGTTTCACTCAGTCTCGGTGATTTGAAAAACCCTTGCAGCAACTCTCTTAGTGGCCTCGAAGATAGCCGTTTTCAAGGCAATACTTCTGACCCATATCCAACAATTTCCAGTCCTTCATCCCGGTCGACTTTCGATAATCCAACAATGTAAGATCTACGTTTAAGTCAAAATTATCGAAATTGTCATACGACTCCTTAGGGGACGACCATTTGATATTCTGGGGGTGGTGACAGGAGGATTGTTTTGTGGATTGACTATTCGTTTTTATCAGTTCCTATGTATGCTTATTATTTTCACTTTTGTACCCAACTGTTTCCTGGATTTTGTGTTGCAGAACATTTATTTTCACTTTTGTACCCAACTGTTTCCTGGATTTTGTGTTGCAGAATATTTATTTTCACCCTGTTTAATGCAAGGTCATATATTTTCAGCTCTTACCAGGCTAGGATATTCATTTTCAAAATCTTCCTCCCCACAGAAAAATAAACGGTCGTCCCCTTATGGGAAATCGTTACTCAGATAAAAGGTGAATCAAAGGTCATGACAGCATTTTGGGCCAGGTAAAAATTCTGAGACTTCCATATATGTGTCAATAATTGTCTCAGATTCTCATTACCTTTTTCATTGGTCTGTTTCATTGCAGAAGTGACATGTGATTACAACTTAGTTCCATAATGAAATCTGCGACATACTACAGCAAGACCCGAATATTAATATGTACCATCTGTCTGTCTTCTGCTATTCTCCTAATTATATTGCTGTTTCCTAAGTCGACAGAACCATTGTATACACCCTTTGAAGGAAACCCACATGATGAGGAAATAATGACAAGATTGAATCATGAAAAAGTTAGAATGGATAACGAACAGATGGTCCGTATAATACGGGAGCATTTTATAGAGCCGCCATCAACACGACCATATCAACTTGACAATCCGGAAAAGTTGGATTTCTCCAGTGGTCAAGCTCCATTTGTTGACAACCGACTTGGTTTCATGGTAAGATATAAAACTAAGTTCAGACATTTCTGTATCATGTCCACTTTTTTCTTCGCATCACGGTGCGAAGTTTCAGAATACGATATTCATGCCATATTGAAATTATTACGTAACAAACATTGGTTCTCATTGGTTGCCGTATATGGTGTGGGAAGGATTCTATTGGCTAGAATATTGTCTATGTACATTTTGAACTAGAGCAGATCCAAGTTTAATCATTATCATTATTCCCGCTTCGGCCTGGGATTAATAGATTCATGTACGAGTCCCAGGTTTGACAAAGGAATTTTATAGTTACGTATTGCTTCAACCTAGGAAGATGATAACTAATATATTATAACCCACCTTCGACTAAAGTGTAGTAGTATTTCTTCTTCTCATATATATTTCCTTGTCGGTGTCAAGTTTTTTCTTCTTTTGACACTAACAAGCCATTTTGCCTGAATGTGTACTACCATGAGATGGTGTGTGATGTTTCAACAAGTCCTTCCTGTGACCCTGACGTTAACCAATTGGTAAAAGTAGTTATTTTTCAGTACATTTCTAAGTGGAGCAGGATCTGTTTACGCCTCCGGAGCACCTGAGATCATTCCTTGATTTTGGTGGGTGCGTGTTTTCTAATTTTAGTTTTCTATGTTGTGTATACTGTAGTCTGTCTTTTTGGTCATTTTTCGTTTTTGTCATGATTATGTCATATAAAAATAAGATGTGGTATGATTGTCAATGAGACAACTCTGCACAAGAGATCAAATGACATAGAAATTAACAACTATAGGTCACCGTACGGCCTTCAACAAGGAGCAAAACCCATACCACATAGTTGTCAGTTTGTCATCAACTTATGAGTTTGAATATAATTCTAGTATCTTCCACCTTTCTTTATCTTATCCTTTAACTTAGCCTTTCTTTATTTTGCACATTTGCACATGAGTGCAACGTTTGAAGACAGATGCTCTTGTACAATGTACCATTGAAGATGGCCTCTGACTTTGACCTTTTCTACAAGGTTCAATAAAAGATTTTTAGGAACAGGAAACCACATATATTCTTGTTTCAATGGAAAATGAAAAAAAATCTGGTACAATGTCTAAAGGTATTGATCCTTTTGAAAAGGCATAATTTGATTTTTTTTCTTTTTAATATACAATGTTTCAAGATAAAAAAAGTTTCAATTTGTGAGAAACTAAAATTGTATTTCTGCAAAGAAATAGAAAAATCAGTGCATGTAAGAACCAATTTTGTTCTGAAACTGTATGATTTTATGTGTTTGAATGATTTGCAGGAAGGTGGGTTTTACATAGAATGTGGTGCTTTGAATGGAGAAAGAAGATCAAACACACTGTTTTTTGAACGCCACAGAAAATGGAATGGAGTGTTAATAGAAGCTGATCCTTCTAATTATGCCGAACTTAAAAGAAAACACAGAAAAGCTTTTACAATGAATGCTTGTTTAAACCCATATCCGTATCCTGCAAAGGTATGATAACAACATAATAAATATAAGCAATAGTTAGAAAAAAAGGTTAACAAATATACTTTTGATCTTATTGCCAATCTCTAATTCTACTGCACCAAGCGCTACTGGTCATTTTGGAAATACCAATTTCGCAGAGAAAATGTTATGAAGACTTGGTTTAATTAAACTTTCAATTTCCCTATTCATCAATGAAAATGTATCAATTTGTGCATTACATTTTATTGAGACAGGGATCAGTTCATGTCATGGGTGCATCATATTTTATTGAGACTTGGATCGGTTCTTGTCATTGGTACATCACATTTTATTGAAACAGGGATCGGTTCTTGTCATTGGTGCATCAAATTTTAATGAGACAGGGATCAGTTCATGTCATTTGTTTTATTTAGACAGGGATCGGTTCATGTCATTGGTGCATCACATTTTATTGAGACAGGGATTAGTTCATGTCATTTGTGCATCACATTTTATTGAGACAGGGATCAGTTCATGTCATTTGTGCATCATATTTTATTGAGACTGGGATCATTTCATGTCATTGGTGCATCACATTTTATTGAGACAAGGATCGGTTCTTGTCATTGGTGCATCACATTTTAATGAGACAGGGATGAGTTCATGTCATTGGTGCATCACATTTTAATGAGACAGGGATGAGTTCATGTAATTGGTGCATCACATTTTAATGAGACAGGGATTAGTTCATGTCATTGGTGCATCACATTTTATTGAGACAGGGATCGGTTATTGTCATTTGTGCATCACATTTTATTGAGACAGGGATCGGTTATTGTCATTGGTGCATCACATTTTATTGAGTAAGGGATCAGTTCATGTCATTTGTGCATCACATTTTATTGAGACAAGGATCGGTTCTTGTCATTGGTGCATCACATTTTATTGAGACAGGGATCGGTTCTTGTCATTGGTGCATCACATTTTAATGAGACAGGGATCAGTTCATGTCATTGGTGCATCACATTTTATTAAGACAGGGATCAGTTCATGTCAATTGTGCATCACATTTTATTAAGACAGGGATCAGTTCATGCCATTTGTTTCATTTAGACAGGGATCGGTTCATGTCATTGGTGCATCACATTTATTGAGACAGCTAGGGATCAGTTCATGTCATTGGTGCATCACATTTTATTAAGACTTGGATCGGTTCTTGTCATTGGTACATCACATTTTATTGAAACAGGGATCGGTTCTTGTCATTGGTGCATCAAATTTTAATGAGACAGGGATCAGTTCATGTCATTTGTTTTATTTAGACAGGGATCGGTTCATGTCATTAGTGCATCACATTTTATTGAGACAGGGATCAGTTCATGTCATTTGTGCATCACATTTTATTGAGACAGGGATCATTTCATGTCATTGGTGCATCACATTTTATTGCGACAAGGATCGGTTCTTGTCATTGGTGCATCATATTTTAATGAGACAGGGATTAGTTCATGTCATTGCTGCATCACATTTTAATGAGACAGGGATTAGTTCATGTCATTGGTGCATCACATTTTATTGAGACAGGGATCGGTTATTGTCATTTGTGCATCACATTTTATTGAGATAGGGATCGGTTCTTGTCATTGGTGCATCACATTTTAATGGGACAGGGATCAGTTCATGACATTGGTGCATCACATTTTATTAAGACAGGGATCAGTTATTGTCATTTGTGCATCACATTTTATTGAGACAGGGATCGGTTATTGTCATTGGTGCATCACATTTTATTGAGACAGGGATCAGTTCATGTCATTGGTGCATCACATTTTATTGAGACAGGGAGCGGTTATTGTCATTTGTGCATCACATTTTATTGAGACAGGGATCGGTTATTGTCATTGGTGCATCACATTTTATTGAGACAGGGATCAGTTCATGTCATTTGTGCATCACATTTTATTGAGACAAGGATCGGTTCTTGTCATTGGTGCATCACATTTTATTGAGACAGGAATCGGGTATTGTCATTGGTGCATCACATTTTATTGAGACAGGGATCGGTTCTTGTCATTGGTGCATCACATTTTATTGAGACAGGGATCAGTTCATGTCATTGGTGCATCACATTTTATTAAGACAGGGATCAGTTCATGACATTGGTGCATCACATTTTATTAAGACAGGGATCGGTTATTGTCATTTGTGCATCACATTTTATTGAGACAGGGATCGGTTATTGTCATTGGTGCATCACATTTTATTGAGACAGGGATCAGTTCATGTCATTGGTGCATCACATTTTAATGAGACAGGGAGCGGTTATTGTCATTTGTGCATCACATTTTATTGAGACAGGGATCGGTTATTGTCATTGGTGCATCACATTTTATTGAGACAGGGATCAGTTCATGTCATTTGTGCATCACATTTTATTGAGACAAGGATGGGTTCTTGTCATTGGTGCATCACATTTTATTGAGACTGGGATCGGGTATTGTCATTGGTGCATCACATTTTATTGAGACAGGGATCGGTTCTTGTCATTGGTGCATCACATTTTAATGAGACAGGGATCAGTTCATGTCATTGGTGCATCACATTTTATTAAGACAGGGATCAGTTCATGTCAATTGTGCATCACATTTTATTAAGACAGGGATCAGTTCATGCCATTTGTTTCATTTAGACAGGGATCGGTTCATGTCATTGGTGCATCACATTTTATTGAGACAGCGATCAGTTCATGTCATTTGTGCATCACATTTTATTGAGACAAGGATCAGTTCATGTCATTTGTGCATCACATTTCGTTGAGACAGAGATCAGTTCATGTCATATGTCATGTCATTTGTGCATCACATTTTATTGAGACAGGGATTGGTTCATGTCATTTGTGCATAACATTTTATTGAGACAGGTATCAGTTCATATCATTGGTGAATCACATATTATTGAGACAAGGATCGGTTCATGTCATTTGTGCATCACATTTTATTGAGACAGGGATCAGTTCATGTCATTGGTGCATCACATTTTATTGAGACAGGGATCGGTTCATGTCATTTGTGCATCACATTTTATTGAGACAGGTATCAGTTTATGTCATTTGTGCATCACATTTTACTGAGACAAGGATCCGTTCACGTCATTTGATTAAAAAACTATTTAATCAGTAGTTACTATAAATAGTACATCTCCTGAACATTTCATGGTAAAATTGTTTGATGGTCTAGCAAATTAAAAGAGAAGATAAACAACTTGAAGGAATGAAACACATCATGATCGTGTCTGAAATTCATGAAAACATTTTACTTTACATCAAATCAACAGCTTGTACTGCGTTTTATTTGGCCATAAAGTTTGATTTTGAAATTTATATATTTATTTTAATAAAATCAACAGAAATGTATATTCTTAATCAAACTTAGATATTGATGGTCAACTAATGTTTATCTTGAGGTTTGCCATTGATCATTCAAAAATAAAAATAAAAATAAAAAATGTGAGAGACAGCAGCTGTTGAGATGAAAAGCAACAATAGCAACAACTATAAAAAGTTGGAATTTGGCTATTTTTGCAGCCTTCGGTCAGATATGTACAGTTAAACCCATATTTACACTACTTACTCTTAGAATAGTTTTTTTTCCATACCATAAGTCTGTACAACAATAAGTTGCTTTATGTATTTTCACTTATTCCGATATAATTCTGTTTTAGCTCAAATTCAACAAAGCATCCAACATGGGACGAGTAGTTCATGATTTGTCAGTACAGAACTGGTTGAAGCAATGGAAACTTCAAGAAAACATGATAGAGGTCCAATGCTTTCCACTTTACTCAATACTCCTCTCTCTCAATCAGACGACAGTTGATTTTTTTAGTCTGGATGTTGAAGGTGATGAACTGAGAGTCCTGAAAACAATTCCTTTTGACAAAGTTAATATTAAAATGGTGACTGTGGAATATATTAACCAACCAGGCAGTGTTGGTGATTTAAATGAGTTCATGGTCGAGAAAGGATATGAACCATTGATAAAGATGCATAAGGATGATGGAACAGTGACTGATGTTATATACCAGAAAAAGTCTTGATGTGTAGGTTTAATTAGTGAGGACACGATGTAATCCATTGGAGAAAGCATTGCAGAATAGCCTCAATCAAGGGAAGAAAGGCAGTGAATATTACAAGGCATTTATTTCATTGAAGGTTCATTGTCATCCAGGAATCTATTGATCAACTGTTATACATGTGTTCTATAGGTGCTCATGATTCATTCAACTTTTTTTTATTGGAGCAGATTTATGTACTGACTAAGTGACTGTGACATATCATTAAAATTTTTAATTTTTTTTTTATTAAAATTGTTTAATTGTTGTTTGACCCTATATTATTTTCAGATCCATTAAGAGTTGTCCTCCAGCAGTGTGAACCCTTTGAGGACATAGTAGTGTAATAGCCTTTGTCCATCTGTATTACACTAATACTCAGAGACAGTTTGTCCAAAATCTTTTATACTTAGGATTTTTTATAAATTTTCTCGTGACTTCTTGCTTCTTTTTTTTTACCATTGTAACACCATGACACCTTGTAAATGCAGTGTCTCTGTTAAACAGAAAGCTTTCCTACTGTTAGTCCTTTAACAGTCATATCAGCTTATCAATGTTGGATTTTCAAATAATTTAGCCTCTAGCACGGCTAAAGAGACCCTTCTGAAAATATTTGCTTGAAGCGTACTTTGTATGACAATTTCATCATGTGTAGTTGACCTTGATATATTGTCATTTTGATTTGACAATTCTGCCTGAGTTATGGGAAATTGACTATCCTCTGCCTATTGCAGCATTCTTACACCTTATGATCACTACTTTTTTAAAACTATATGTCCAAACCTTATAATATGGGATATAATTGTTTGTAATATGTTCAACTTTACTTATTTATTTATTCATTGGTAATTTTTAGATTTTCCCTTTGATCTTACTGCCTTATATTTTTCTATATCACGGAAGGCCCTGATACTGATAAATTAGGCAATACGTAACAGTGCAATAACATTGCATGTTCATGTCCATCAGCGTCAATTTTAATATCAATGAAATGCAGGTGACTTTATTCATACAACCGAACAACTATCACAATGTTTTATTCTGTAAAAATAGTTTTACTTTCTATTTCATTTTATTTCATATCCTCAAACAAAAATCATAATGTTAAGACAAAATTTCCGATAAAAAGAATAATGGCATTTTACTTTTTGAAACAGACTTCATCAACTCAAATATTAGCTCGCCTTTGCTTGATATTTTTGCTGATAAAGTCAGTATCAAAACAAATATGCCATTATTCTTTATATATCCCTACTGCATGTTTGCACTTGATACCATACATTTGTATTCAACTGTCGCTTTATTAGTCTGATCATACCAGTGTGGAAGTCGCGTGACTTTTGCCAATTTTAGTCTGTTGTACACTAATGACTCCTTGGGATCACAATTCCCTATTTGCCAAAAAAAAAAAAAAATAGGCTATTTTAGCAAACACTAAAATATCTTGCCTACTTTACTGATCCTGATCACATTTTATATTGAATGTCTTTAGATGAAGGGTTTAACTACATCGTAAATGATCTATGAAAATGAGGTCAAGGTAAGATGAACCCTGCCAGATGAACATTTTCAATCTACGATTATTTTATAAACTAATTTGGCAAATATGGCTGACCTATTGTTAACAGTATTTGAAATAAATGTGGATGGTGTCCACATGTGGACACATATGATGCCCCCGCTTGCATATCATATTGTTATAAAAGGACATAACTGAAGAACGGTAAAAGTGATGCTACCCAAATTTGAACTTGATCTGAGTTTTGTGGTAATAAGCATTGTGTGTCTCATAACATTTGGTTGAGGCTAACTTAAGTAGAGAACAGAAACTAAAAATTCAGCAATTTTTCTATTTGTAAACACGCATAACTCTAGAACGGTTGTGTATAAGTTTTATAACATTTGGTTGAGACAAACTAAAGTTAGAGAACGGAAACGAAAAATTCAGCAATTTTTATGTTTATAAAGGGACATAACTCAAGAATGGTGAAAGTGTCGCCACCAAATTTCGTACTTAATCTGTATTATGTAGTTATAAGCATTGTGTATAAGTTTCATAACATTTGGTTGAGGCAAACTAAATTTAGAAAACGGAAACAAAAAAATTGTACTTGATCTTAGTTTTGTGGTAATGAATATTGTGTATAGGTTTCACAATGTTTGGTTGGGGCAAGTTATAGATATTTCATATCTTTTGAATAGTTTTGTTGTGTTTCGTAAATTATACCATAGCTTTTGTTGAAACCCCCGGCAATAACCTCACGAGACGAAGTCGAGTGAGGTTGCCGAGGGGTTTCAACAAAAAACTATGGTATAATTTACGAAACACCACAAAACTAACCAAAATATATGAAATATCTGTTTTAACCTATTGCATATGTTGTTGTTTAAAAATGTATATTTCATATATTTTTGTTTATTAACTTCAAAAATAATTTTGATAAGAATCGGTCAAATTACCCTTTTAGGACCTTACACATTAAGCTCCGCCTACTTTATAAAATACGCACGGGCTTCTGAAACAGCGGGGAAATCAGTTGGACAAGATTTTTCGACAGCGATGGATGCACATCTACATTGGTGACGGGTAACGTTACAGACTAAAAACTGTTGAAGGAATTATATGTTCTGTATGTATATGGACGCAAGATATAGTTTGAAAGATTTCTGGAAACCAGATTTAAAGTTGAACTGCAAAGGGTTAGTTTTTTTTTTATTTTATCAAAATATTTGAAATGTTTTTAAGTTTTTGGTATTAATTTATAATTCTGTGGAAATTTAATTCACAAGAATCTTTCTGAGAGTTTGGATGAATCATTCCATGTTTTAATTTGTACCAGAAGCCCAAGTTGTACATTTAATTTAATCTAATCTAATTAAAAAGGATTTCAAAATGATCACGATTAAAGATCATTTAAAATCACATGACGACTATAGATAATTTAAACAAAAGTTCACCTTTATTTAGAGTAACCAGACGCTTTCTATTCTTAACGGCCCAACATTATCTTCTTGAAAGGGGCATGCCTTCCCCCTCCCTCCCTCTTAAAAAGCCGCCACGGCAAATTTCAACCTTTACATGTAGCTATACAGTTGAGCCTAAGGGCCTACAATCCAAGTATACATCTCAATAACCGAAAATCGAATTATATTTTCAAGTATAATATAATAATATATTTATATATACTTTTTTTTTAAAAACTTTGTTCTTGAATCGAATTTTCGTTCATTTAAAAATATAGGACAACGGAGTTGGTGTATGTGGGTTCGATTCCCACCCTAGGCATTCATTTATATCGGCTGGTGCAAAGCGGGCAGTTTAGCTTAGTGGCCCCACACTGACTCTGTTTTTCCTATTTAAAAAAATTCAGGCGGCCTCGGATAGGCCTTGCTGTCTTCCTTTTTTTCTTTTCGAATACCAAATACAACAAAACCATGGTATAATTGTGAAAATTATACCATAGATAGCTATGGTATAATTTTCGGTTATTGAGATTTATACTCTTGTTGCATTCCCATAGGTTACATTGTACAGCTATAGGTTAAACTTAAGATACAGAATGGAAACTAGTAAATTTGCAATCTTTCGATTTATAAAGGGGCATAACTTAATAATGGTTAAAGTGACACTACCCAAATTCAACTTGATCTGTGTTTTATCAGTGGAAGTCAAAATTAAACATTGCATTGTATAAAGCATTGATTGTAGTTGATTCAAATATAATCATGGACAAAGGAAGATAACTCCAATTTTAAAAATTACTTGATATTTAGAAGAAAATAAAAATTTTGCAATTTTTCCATTTATAAAGGGGCATAACTCTAGAACGGTTAAAGTGACGCCACCAAAATTCAAACTTGATCTTTGTTTTGTGGTAATAAGCATTGTGTATAAGTTTCATAACATTTGGTTGAGGCAAACTTAAGTTAGAGAACGGAAACTAAAAATTTGGCAATTTTTCCATTTATAAAGGGGCATAACTCTAGAACGGTTAAAGTGACCCCACCAAAATTCAAACTTGATCTGTGTTTTGTTGTAATAAGCATTGTGTATAAGTTTCAGAACATTTGATTGAGGCAAACTCAAGTTAGAGAATGGAAACCAATTTTGGGACGTACTTACGTACAGACGGACAAGGGTAAAACTTAATGCCCCCACTGCTACGGCGCGGGCATAAAAATGGATAAAATCAAGAAAACTTAACACTGATCACAGATTCATGAAATGAGGTCAAGGTCAGATGAAGGCCTTACAATCCACCTTACAATCATTCCAAATATAGTTGACAGATTGCTAATAGTGCATTTTTATAGAAATGGACCTAACCACGAAAACTAAACATTGAACCATGAAATTGAGATCACCCATGCCAAATGGACATATGCAACTAATTACCATGTTATTCATCAAATATAGTTGACCTACAAACAGACCTAATCACAAAACCTTACCATTAAAGATGAAACCTGCCAGGTAGACATGATCACTTTACAATCATTCCATACCCCAAATATAGTTAAAAGGTAAAATAACAAAAAAAAATACCAAACTCTAAGGAAAATTCAAAACGGAGAGTCCGTTATCAAATGGCAAAATCAAAAGCTCAAAAACACATCAAACAAATGGAAAACCTCTATCATATTCCTGACTTGGTAAAGGCATTTCCTTATGTAGAAAATGGTGGATTAAACCTGGTTTTATAGCTAGCTAAACCCCTCCCTTGTATGATAACTTATAGTATCATAGAAACAGAACTACATTTTGTAAACACAAAAATAATGGTGACTGATAAGGGGACGACCATTTGATATTCTGGGGGGGGGGGGGGGGGGGGATGGGGGGCAGGAGGATTTTGAAAATAAATAACTCAGCCTTGATAATCACAAAAATAAATGGTTTGTTCTGTGGTAGTTTGAAAATAAATTACTCGACTTGCAATGTATTGAAAATAAATAACTCAGCAGGTCTAATCGAAAGTATGAGATGGCACCAGATTCTTCATAAATTCTTTTTTCCAAAAAACAAATCGGGAAACACTTCCCATATCTTTTAATAATAAAAGTATAAATATAATTTAAATATACTTGAAATGTCAGAAAATTGGTTTCATTTAACTTGAGGTTAATTGTCTCAGGAACACTTACCTCACTTTTATTAAATCAGGACCGTAACTACATTGAGACAAATGCCTCATGTAGGAAATTTCAAAACCAAACGCTTGTCTCCATATCAAATTGTGTTCACCGTGAGTGCCTTGCAAGAAGCA